ACAAGACAAATAGTGGATGCACTTATAGTTCACATTATGACAGGAAGACCAAAATCCACCACTATGCAGACAGGTAGGCACAAAGACAGAACAAAGTACGCGTTACCAGTACAAAAAGGAAGCAAGGAGCTGAGACCCAGGGTGACGGAGGCCCCACTGCAGGCTGGGGAGCAGAGAGCACTGTGGGAAGGGAGCCCTTCAAATGGACACGATGCAGGAGCTGAGACCCAGGGTGACGGAGGCCCCACTGCAGGCTGGGGAGCAGAGAGCACTGTGGGAAGGGAGCCCTTCAAATGGACACGATGCAGGAGCTGAGACCCAGGGTGACGGAGGCCCCACTGCAGGCTGGGGAGCAGAGAGCACTGTGGGAAGGGAGCCCTTCAAATGGACACGATGCAGGAGCTGAGACCCAGGGTGACGGAGGGCCCCACTGCGGGCTGGGGAGCAGAGAGCACTGTGGGAAGGGAACACTTCAAATGGGACACGATGCAGGAGCTGAGACCCAGGGTGACGGAGGGCCCCACTGCAGGCTGGGGAGCAGAGAGCACTGTGGGAAGGGAGCCCTTCAAATGGGACACGATGCAGGAGCTGAGGGCGAAACAGGCGAAGAACTGGGAGAGGAGGCGCCATGCAGAACCCAGAGTCCTGCAGCATTCACAATGTCCAAACACAGCGGAAGTCATGTCATGCGAAGAGCCAGAGAAACATGACGCGTTCTCAAGAGAAACCACCAATAGAGGGCCGATCTCGACATGCTGAAGGGATCGGAGAAGGCAATTCAAGAACTCCTCTAACTATACTCTGTGAGGCCATGGAAAACATTGTTGTAATAAAAAACAAAGAAGAACCAAGGTGGGCCCTGGCCAGGTAGCTCAGTTGGTTAGAGCATCATCCCGATACACCGAGGTTTCAGGTTCGACCCCTGGTCAGGGCATGTACAAAAATCACCCAATGATGCATAGTGAAGTGGAACAGCAAATCGATGTTTCTCTCGCTCTCCCTTCTTCTGTCTAAAATGAATAAAGGTCAATATGGCGAGAGAAAAAAAAATAAGACTGAAAATAATGAACAAAACCAGGCATGAAGGACAGTGGTAAAGTGTCCAAGGTCAAAGGCTGTGTACGCAGGAGGGACCAACAAACTAAGCCCCACCACACCAGGCCCTCTGCCGGCATCCTGATGAGCTGACCAACAGCCTCGCCCACACAGCTCCTGCTCCAGGGCTGCCCTGGCCCCGGCCCAGGAGTCAGAGAGAGACCACAGGCTCTGCCCGTCACAGATGCCAGTCCCTGTCCTGCAGCTCATCAGAGTGCCCGCAAGAGAGGAAGAAGGAGGCAGAAAAGCCACTTGAAGAAATAACAGCCCCAAACTAATAGTTTACACAAAAACCCCAGTGAATCTACACAGGGTAAATTCAAAAGCATTTCAGTTGAACTTCTGCAAACCAGAGATAAGTAGCAGACTGGAAGAAGCCAAAGAACACAGCACTTACAGCTAGAATGGCCCGTGACTAAGACAGTCTCGCGAGACAGCGGAGGCCAGAAGACTGTGCGCACACCTCCACGTGACTGAACACAAACTACTGTCGACCTGGAATCACGTGCCCACTGCTAATATTCACGAATGACCACAGGTAAGGAACAACCAAGGACACTTGTCCTCTGATTTAGAAAAGTCTACACTGACAGAACTGAAGTGAGAAATAAACAATTTAACAACAACACTTGGAGACTTCAACATGAAAGATCCAGAAGGGAAAAAACTCTAGAAGAGCATAAACCGACCGCGACAGGCCTGGCAGAAGGTGTGAGCAGAGCATCTTCCGCAGGGGTCACACCTTCGCCAGGGCACAGGCCACGTTCTCCCAGGGAGACCAGATGTGAGAGCACAGCACAGATCTCAGCTACCTGAAAGGGACGAAAATAATACAAACTATCTTCTCTGACCACAACAGAATAAAATGATATTATCAAAAACAGAATGAAATTTGGAAAACTCACAATATGTAGAAGTTAAATAAGAACATCATAAATAACCAACAGGTCAAAGAAGAAATGGAGAAAAAGAAAATACTTTGAAATAAATGAAAACTAAAACATATCAAATTTGATAAGATGCAGCTAAAGCAGTACTTAGAAGGAAATTTATAACTGTGAACACATTTAAAAAGAGGAAAATTTCAAATCAATAATCTAACCTTCTACCAAATGAAATCAGAGAAAGAGCAAACTGACCGCAAAGCAAAGCAAAAGGAAGGAAATAATTAAGATTAGAATAGAAATAAAAAACAGAAAAAGAGAAAAAAAAATTGTTGGTTCTTTGAAAAGATCAATAAAATTGACAAGCCTTTAGCTAGACTGATCAAGACAAAAAGAGATAACTAAAATCAGAAATGAATTACCAACTGTATTTAAAACAAGAATTATAACAGAATACCACAAACAAGTGTTTGCCAACAAATTAGATAATCCACATGAAATGGACAAATCTTAGAAAGACAAACTATTCAAAGTGACTCGAGAAGAAATATACAGTGTGACTACACCTATAAGATGATACTGCATTACTAATCAAAAAAGCTTCCACAAATTTAAGCCCAAGCCCAGACTTTACATGTGGGTGAATGCTACCAAAAGCTTAAATAAGAATGAACATTAATCCTTAAAAACATTTAAAAAAACAGAACACATCCCAAATTGTTCTATGATGCCAGTTTTGCTCTGACACCAAAACCATAAAGTCATCACAAGAAAACTACAGATCAATATCGCTTAACTATACTTGCAAAAATACTAATAAAAATTTTAAAAGGGAAAGTACTACCAAAAAGTATACATATGACCGAGCAATATTTATCCCAGGAGTGCAAGGTTGGTTCGCTGTACAAAAATCAATGTAATACACCAAATAGAATGATAGCCAGAAACCACATGAACATCACAAATAGGTACAGAAAAAGAACCTGACAGAATCCAACAACACCCCTCCAAGATGAACAACAAACGCAGACAAATACATAACTGGTCAGAAGGAAAGCCCCTCGACCTGACAAAGGGCATCTGTGAAAACCCAGCTACGTCACTGGTCCAAGGGACACAGAGAACGCTTCTCACTGCCCATAGCTGCGACGAGAGCAGGAGGGCCACTCACACCACCTCTGCGCTGGAGTTGTGGTCGGGCATCAAGCAAGGAAAAGACGTCAAAGGCATCCAGACGGGAAAGAAAACGTACACTGTCCACATACAGATCACAGAGGAGTGTCTACAGGAAATCCTACAGAAATCACAAAAACACTTGGAGCTAACAAACCAGTTTGACAAACTTGCAGGATACAAGATCAATATACAAAAACCAGTCATGTCTTTTATATTAATAACCCCACGATCTAAAAAGAAAATTAATACAACTATCCCATTTATAATAGCATCAAAAAGAAGGAAGCATTCAGGAACAGATTTAACCTAGAGGATGTAAAATGTGTACACTGAAAGAAACAAAAGGCCTAGAAGAACCACAAGCACGTCCCAAGGCTATGGATTGAAGAGTGAATGTTGTTAAAATGGCAACGGTTCCCTAGTTAGGGATTCAGCACAATCTCTACCAAATCTCGGGGAGGTACAGACACACAAAACGGAATAAGGTCTATCGGTAGGAGGGACTACTGTTCAGCACTCAAAGGAGCGTAGCACTGACACGTTCCGCATGAATGAACCTTCCCACAGTACGCTAAGGTCGGACGTGAACGGTCACGGGGGTTCCACTCGTGCGAAGCGTCCAGGGACAACAGGGATCAGTGTGGTGCGGGCCAGGTGGGGCAGTGGGGACGGGGTGCTGGTCAGTCAGCACAGAAGCAGGCTCTGTATTTTGTACAAATCCGAGACTACCCGGGAAAGCTGGACGTGCTGGACTCACGACATGGTCGTCTTGCAAGATCAAAGTGAAGGTTGGTGCAGCAAGAACCGTCACGAGATGCTGCACCTGGGGCACCGGGAGCTGCAGACCCGGTGAGGAGCAGGATGTCTGCATGAGCTTAAGAGGGCTCCCCACGGGTGGCTGATTAGTTTCGAGAGACACAGAAAGGAATTATACAGTGGAAAAAGCAGCAAACACGTGGCCAGGTGAACGCAATTAGTATCACCCAGGAGAGGCGGACGAACACTGTAGGCCTCTAGGCAAGACACACATCACTCACGGAGCGTTCTGGGTGGGAAACCACAACCGGAATCTAATCACTGGGAAACATCAGACAAACCCAAATGAAGAACATGTGATTTTAAACAAAGGGTGGAGAGGGAGACTGGAATCATCAATACCGCCCTGGCCCAGCCTGCGGAGACAAGGGACCAGGCAACAGGCACGATAGCGCCCTGGATCGGCTCTCCTACGGGGGCGAAAACGCTGAAGGAGGCGCAGGGGCCGTGCCACAACCTACAGGGCAGCCTCAAGCTCTCTCCCTGCCTCTCTCCGGCCTCCTCCCACACCCTTCTCCCACCTCAAGCTCCCCCTGAACACTCGTGCCAGGGGCTCAATCGTGTGCCCCCTAAAATTCACAAGACCTAACACCCTCCGAGAGAACACGTGAAGACAGCCACCTGCAGGCCAAGGGGAGAGGACTCGGAAGAAAGCAACCCTGCCGACTTCGATCTTGAACCCCCCGCCCCCAGAACTGAGAGAAACCGAAGTCGGTCTGTGGACCGCGGTCAGGCCGCCCCAGCAGGCCGGTGCCTCTGGCTCCGTGCGTGGGCTCCCCGTTTCCTGAGTACACGGAGCACAAGCTCTCCAGCCTGCGTGCTCACTCCCGTCTGGGAAGGGTGAGGGGTTACACCACACCCGTGGTTCGGCTGCGGAAACTGAGGCTGGAGGATTTAAATGACCTGTCCAGGTAAGAAGCAGGGAAAAGATGGGAATCACACATTGTCTGGTCCTGTGGTCCCTGGGAAATACAGTGTCATGCTTGCGCGACACTAGATACTCGAGGAACAAGATGAGAAAGAACTCACTTTTCCACCCAGAGCACGGAGACGAGCTTGACCCCTCTCTCCTGCGCTCTCTCCCAAGTGCGCTGGTGGCCGTCTTTGAACACGACATGAGTCACTCGTTTGCTAAAAGTCTTTGAAACCTGTCAAGTACAGGGGAAAAAAATATTACTATTTGCATACAATGTCATGGAGACGTGCAAAATAAGCAACAAAATGTTAGCAAACTGTATCAACCTATATAAAGGATAATACAGGGTGAGGCAAAAATAGGTTTATAGTTGTTTGTATGGCAAATAATAAAATAATTAAGAAATAATAATACAAGAATAAACTCTGTTTTGTGTACTCGCAACTGTAAACCTACTTTTGTCCCATCCTGTACATTCCCACCATTTGAATTTATTCCAGGACCACGTTGTTAACATAAAAAAATTATTATTCACTACAAAGTGAAACATCATTATGATCATCTCAATACATGCAAAAACCACATTTAATAAAATTAAAAAGTAAAAAAATTAAGAAGTTTCCTCATGGGGAAATTCTCAGTAACTGCTGAGAATTTGGGACAAAACGCATCAGGGACAATGCTACAAGCTGTCCCTTGAGAGGAGGACGCAGACGAGGATGCCTGATGTCTCCATTCTGTTCAACTGGCCCCTTGTGCAGTATGACAAGGAAAAGAAATAAACGGTGTTAGGGTTAGGAAAAAAACAAAATAAAGCTGCCTTGTGCACATATGATTCAATTATGTACATTTTTAAAATCCCCAAAATACCACAGAACTTATAAATGAGTTTGTTAAGTTTTCTGGAAAACAAGGTGGACATGCAAAAACAAGTTATTTCTATATATCTGCAGCAGTTAGAAAAAAGAATTTTAGAGATACTATTTATAATAGCATCAAAAATAAGCACAGAAAATTATAAAATATTACTGAAATGAATGTTAAAAACCAAAATCAACAAAGGCATATATCGTGTTCATGGGTTGGAAAATTCAATTTTGTCAAAATGTCAGTTCTCTCCACACTGATCTTTGCTATCAATCCAACCCCAATCAAAATCCCAAAAAAGCGCTCTGTTGTAAACTAACAAACTGATTCTAAAATGTATCCAGAAAGGGAAAAGGTTAAGAATGGCCAGAACACCCCAAAGAATAAGGAGAGGACACATGAAAATGTATGATGAAGAGCAATTAAGACAGGGAGGCCCTGGCCGGTTTGGCTCAGCGGTTAGAGCATCAGCCTGCGGTCCCGAGAGACCGGGTTCGGTTCCCGCTAAGGGCATGTACCTCGGTTGCAGTTTGTCCCCGGCCCTGGTCGGTCGTGCGGGTGGCAGCCACTCGATGTGTCCCTTTCACATCGATGTTTCTCTCTCTCTTCCTCTCTCTCCCTCCCACTCTACCTGAACAAAAAATGTCCTCGGGTGAGGATATAAAAACAAAAAAACAAAAAAAGACAAGGCGATTTGTTGTGAGGCCCAATACACTCACACTGAGACATACATACGTACACCTGACTGATGGAAAAGGTATTACTATGCAGCTTGTTTAAAGGACAATTTTCTTTCTTTTTTTTTTTTATCCTCACCCAAGGACATTTTTCCATTTTTTTTTTTTTTTAGATAGAGTGGGAAGGAGAGAGAGGAAGAGAGAGAGAGAGAAACATCGACGTGAAAGGGACACACTGAGTGGCTGCCACCCGCACGACCAACCAGGGCCGGGGACAAACTGCAACCGAGGTACACGCCCTTAGCGGGAACTGAACCCGGGTCTCTCTGGACCGCAGGTCGATGCTCTAACCGCTGAGCCAAACTGGCCAGGGCTAAAGGACAGTTTTCAATAAATGGTGTTGAGCAGAAAGAATATTCACATGGGGAAAAAATGAAACTAGTTCACACCACATATGATAATCAATGCCAGATGCACTATCCACCTAAACACGAAAGGCAAACTGATAAAGCCTGCAGGAGGCGACCTTCGTACCCTAGGTTTGGGAACAGATGTTTCTGAACAAGAGACACAAAGAACCTCACCACAAAAGGAAACACTCCACTACACCCTCCCCCAGGTCCCAACACACACAAACACACTTTACTCACAGCTGAACTCTGGGAGAACAGTCTGCAGTCACCATGTCTGCTCCTCATTTCTCAACTAGCATTGAGAGCCACCGGTGAGAAGGTGAAAGGACCAGCCAGGGCGACAGAAACTGAAAGCAACCCGCATGGCTGTGATTCCTGGGACAATCTCATCCCCTCTGTCCAGCTCCCTGAAACTGCACTGTGCTCAACAGTGTCCTTCGAGCCCTGGCCGGTTTGGCTCAGCAGTTAGAGCGTCAGCCTGTGGACCAGAGTCCTGGGTTCAGTTCCCGCTAAGGGCATGTACCAAAAAAACAAAAAACAGTGCCCTTCGAGTTCTCAAACCTGAAGTATACTCGCCAGTTTCAACTTCTCTAGAGGCTGCGGCGTTTTCAAATCCTTCCCTCGATTTCCAGACTTGTCTTCTGAATTCTCCTGGCATTCTTCTCTGTCTCTGTCCCTGGGTACCTGCCTCCCATTACCAGCCCTTGAAATATTAAACAGGGTCCACCTTCAGTACTTTTTCTTCTAACCACCTGGGTCATTATCACACCGGTGGCCTCACCTGAGCTGTAGGCGCTTGACCCCTAAAATGATGTTTCTAGACTTGACTACCTCAAGTTCCAGATGTGTATACCTAAATGTGTGTCAGATATTTCCAATGTCCCAACTTCACAACCTGTCCCTTAAACACCTGTTCCTTTCCCTGTATTCCTCACTTTGATCAACAGCATCATGCATCCCAGTACCCAATGGCGGGATCCACATTTTCATCCCCGAGTTCTCCTTCTCCCTCCCAAGCACAAGACCAACTGTCTTAGAACCCTACTGTGCCAATTTATGCTGCGGTTCTCTTCTTCTTTCTCCTGCCACTTACCCGCTGCCTTCTTTCCTTTCATGTCCTAGTAACTCCCCAAATGAGGAAATGAAGATATATCTCATTATGTATCAGAGGACTATCATATGCAGCAACGGTAAGATGAATTTGTTACTCACATGTAGCAATGGTAAATGAATTTCTTACCCACATGTAGCAAAGATAAGATGGATTTCTTACTCATATGTAGCAATGGTAAGATGAATTTGTTACTCACATGTAGCAATAGTAAGATGAGCTTGTTACTCACATGTAGCAATGGTAAGATGAATTTCTTATTCACATGTAGCAATGGTAAGATGAACTTGTTACTCACACGTAGCAATGGTAAGATGAATTTCTTACCTTTGCCCCCATCTCCACAAGTTGGTTTGTAAATGTCTTTGAATAATTTTCTGTTCCATTGGCTGACCACACTTCAACATAAGCCACTACATCTGAAAATAAACAAGGTGTTAGCATGAAATGTATTGAAATTCTAGCATCCCTCGCCCAAGGATTTCAATACATTTTTCTCTTGCTATATATACACTAAAAAAATAAAATAAAATTTAAGATGTTTTCTATTACAAGCCTATTCAAAATAGCATTAGTGCTACCATGGTTCTTAAAATTTCAAGCAAAGAACAACTTTACTCATACACATGTTTACAGTTTACATTATTAACACTGACTGCTCTTCCCAAATTCTCAAACCAGGCTCTACATTTCTAGGGCAAAGTCTGTTTTCTGTAAAGGACCAGACAGTAAATACTTCAGGTTTTGAGAGCCACACCACCGCTCAACTCCACGGCTGCAGAGCTAAAGCAGCCACAGACAATACTCAATGAATGAGCAGTGTACTCTAACTAAACTCTACGGTGAAGTTTAATGTGATATAATGTTCACCTGTCATCCTTCTCCTGGCACCCCCCACCCCACCCCAAACATTTAAAAAAGTAAAGAACAGCCTTAACTTGCAGGCCCTACAAAAACAGGCAGCAGGGAGAACTGGGTGTGTGTGTGTGTGTGTGTGTGTGTGTAGTTTAGAAACCTCTGTTCTAGTGGCTTTTTCTCAAAACCTAATGCTCTGAGAGAATTTCCAGGTGTGCCATTCGAAATCACTGTGAGCAAAGAGAAAAGTGAAGTTCATTTCACAAAACACTAGCACTAGGAAAACAGCCACATCTGACTCGAGTTTAGGTAAAGCCTTGGTCTTCTCTTTTGACTCTTAAGGTCTGTACACCACTCCAGGCCCCTCAATGCAGATCCCACTACCCACCGTCCCTTCTCTCCAACACCTGACTACACCTGTCCACTGCTCTGATGCTCCTCGGCAATTCCCGGTGCCCAGGTGCCCGCCAGGGGTCAGCACAGAATACCCTGATCTCGGAGCAGGCTCAAATGCTCCATCGCCCCTGCGCTCACTAGCTATGGGGGGCGGGGAGAGGCAGCGGTAGGCTCCGCGCCTTAGTCTCCCCACCTGCAAAGCGAGGCAAAACAGAGTTGCTGAGACCGCAAAAACTAGGACAGCATCCACCAAGCACTCAGCACCGTTCCTGGCACAGTTCGTCGGTGAGGGGTCGCCGCTGTTTTCATAACAAGGCCACGGACGTGGCAGAGGACCCGCTTTCTTTTCCCAGTGTCACAGTTACCCCGCGCCCCTAAAGTCGCCGGCCAGGCCACGGCGGGGGGGCAAGGGGGGCTGGGTGAAAGCCGAAAACCAACCACTCCGCCGCCGCCCCGGGCCCAGGGCTGCACTGCCCGCCCCCCAGCCCAGGTGGCGCGGTCGCAGCCCCCCACTCCCCGTGAGGGGCCGGGCTGGCTTCCGGGGCGGCGCTGACCTCCCCAGCAGCCCTGTCCTCCCGCCCCGGCCTCCAGGTAGAGCCAGCCCTCACCTTTCAGGACCGAGCCCCGCGGGGTCGCGGGGGCCGCCATGAGGAGCGGACGAGCCGCGCAGCCGAACCACGCGGACCTAGAGCCGGCGGAGCCTGCGGGCGACAGCGAGCATGCGCGGCACGGGCGCGCCAATCCCCGCCGGCTCCGCGGGAGTCGGCTCTTCCGGGTTTTCGCAGCCGCCGGGGGTCGGGGAGCGAGGACCTCCGGGCGGACGCGGAGAGGGCGTTTCCTGCGCAGACTCGGACGTGCCTTCCGCGTCCGCTGCGGTGCGCGTCCCGCGCCGCGAGCCCGTCTCTGTCCTCTCGTTCGTTATGGGGACGGCGCGTAAAGCCTGCGTCGAAGCCTTCTGTCCCCTCCCCCCCGGATCCGCTGGGTCCCCTCGCCGGTTGGCCCTGGTCAACGCTGCAGCCTGCAAACCCCGGAGCGGACTGCACCCGGCCGGACTGAGCGAGCCCCACGCTCCGAAACAGTGTGCGGAGCCTGCACTCAGCCGGTGCCGGCTTCAAACTTCGCGCCCGCGGAGCCCCGCCCACGCCGTGCAGGGCGCAGGCGCAGGCCCGCCCCGAGGCTGCGCGCAGGAGTCCGCTGGGAGCACACGCCCAGGTGGCCCCACCTGGCCCCACCTGGCCCCACCTGGGCGGGCGGCCTTGCTGTCGGTCTGCTTGTCCGTCCAGCCCCCTGTGTCCTCTCCCTGAGGCTCAGGATCAGTCAAAGGATGGATACCGAACGAGTGGAGACGTGCACTTCCAGTGCTTCAGGACCATCCCAAGCTCCGTGGAAACGGGACCTTCAGAGTAAAAGGGACACGTGTTACCTTGTGGTCAGAGGTACAGGCTCCGTTTAGGAATCAGACTGGATCTGGTTTGGAGACTTGTCTCCAGGTATCTCATCGCTTCTGTTAGCTATGAAGTATGGATGCGTGACCAAATCTCTCCGAGCTTCATTTTCCCACAAAGTGCACTCATAACAGGAGAAACGCTGACATGAAGGGAGCGCATACTGTGGCTTTAGATGTATTATCAAAGTTAATGCTACCGCCCTGGCCGGTTCCGACCAAGGAGTGGCGGATTCGATTCCAGTCCAGGGGCACCTACCTTGGTTGTGGTTCCCCCAGCCCTGCGGGAGGCAACCAGTAGGTGTTTCCCTCTCACGTGATGTTTCTCTCCCTCTCTTTTCCTTTCTTCCCCTCCCTTCCACTGTATCTGAAGATAAAGGAAAAAATACCTTGTGTGAGAATTCAAAAAAAAAAGAAAAGTTAATCCCATCTAGGAGGTGAGTGTATTACAATTTAAAAGGCACTTACATATTTTTTTTTTTCTCCTTAGACTCTCCCCAAAATGCTATTATTCTAGAAATATTTATTGTGGCAACCTGGAGACAACAGAGGCCTCGGCCTCCTCTGCCTCCCCCAACTCCCTGATAATTTAAGAAGGCTTTCTGTTTTTCTTTTTTAAGAGCAGAAGAAAAGGGAGAGAGAGAGAGAGATGGAGAAACATCTATGAGAAATACATTGATCGGTGCCTCCCATACACCTGCAACCTAGGTATGTATGTGTCCTGACCTGGAATTGAACCCCAGCCTTCCTGGTGCACAGGACAACATGCCAATCAACTGAGACATACTGGCCGGGGCAGGCTTTCTCTTATTTTATACTTTGTATCATTTGATGCTCACAACAGCTCTGTTACATAAAAAATGTAATTATAGGTATTATAAATATAACTATTATAGAAATAGGATCTTATTCATACTGTTAAGCAACAAAAATTGGACCAAGTAAATTTTAAAGATCTAATTGGCTTTATTGAAGGATTCATGAATCAGGCAGCATCCCATCTAGCAAGTAGAAAGGAGCTCCAGAGGGCTCCAGAAGGGGCAGGTTTTTATTTTATTTTTATTTTTTAATTTATTATTATTATTATTATTTTTTGAGAGAGAGAGAGAGAAACATTGATGTGAGAGCAAAACACCATTGGGCCTCTGCCGTCAGCCAGGGCACAGAAATGGGAAGGTTTTTGAAAGCAGAGAGGGGCTGGAACAAGGAAATCCAATTTTTAAAAAAAGATTATTCCACATAAAGTCACCTGCCTTTGGAGACAATCGGGACTGTTAGGAGGATTACCTCATTGATACTGACCAGGAAATTCTAAGATCACAGTCTTGGGGAAAGTTGGAACTGTCATTAGGTTAGGTAGTAAGTCTTGGTTTGCAGATGTGGGATTTAGCACAAGTGACTATTTTGGGCCTGTTTTTTCCTTTTATTTTTTTAATTACTAAATTTATTGGGTGACATGGTTAATCAAATTATATAGGTTTCAGGTGTACAATTCTCTAATACATCATCTGTATATTGTATTGTGTGTTCACCACCCAAGTCAAGTCTCCTTCCATCACCATTTATTTCCCCTTCATCCTCTTCTACCTCCCCTCCCCCTTTCCCTCAGGCAGTCACCTTGCTGTTGTCTATCAGGTTTTGTTTCATTTGTTTGTTTTGTTTCGACCACCCTCCCCTCTGACAGCTGTCAGTCTGTTCTCTGTATCTATGAGTCCCTTTCTATTTTGTTTGCTAGCCTATTTTGTTTATTAGGTTCCACATATGCGTGAAATCATATGGTACGTACTTGTCTCTCTCGGACTGGCTTATTTCACTTAGCATAATGCTCTCCAGGTCCATCCATGCTGTCACAAAGGATAAAATTTTCTTCCTTTTTATGGCCAAGTAGTATGAGTAGTATCCCATTGGGTACATGTACCACAGCTTTTTTACCCACTCATCTACTGATGGGCACTTGGGCTGCTTCCATAGCTTGGCTATTGTAAATAACACTGTAGCTTGGCTATTGTAAATAACATTGCAATGAACATGGAGGTGTATAGATTCTTTTGAATCAGTGTTTCGGGTTTCTTTGAATATATTCCCAGAAGTAGAATCACCAGATCATAAAGCAGTTTGTATTTTTAATTTTTTGAGGAAATGCCATACTGCTTTCCACAGTGGCTGCACCAGTCTGCATTCCCACCAGCAGTGCGCGAGGGTCCCTTTTCTCCACCCTCGCCAGCACTTTGATTTATTGATGACGGCCATTCTGACAGGTGTAAGGTGATACCTCGTTGTTATTTTAATTTGCATCTCTGGAATGATTACAGATGTTGAGCATCCTTTCATGTCCATTGGCCATCTGTATGTCCTCTTTGGAGAAGTATCTCTTCAGGTCCTTTGTTCATTTTTTTTAAAAAATAGTTTTTGTTTTTTATTTATTTATTTTTCTTTCCTCACCTGAGGATACTTTTCTATTTATCATCAGATAGAGTGGGAGGGAAGGAGAGAGAGAGAGTCAGAGAGAAACATTGATGTGATAGAGCCACATTGACTGGTTGCCTCCCACACGACCCAACCAGGGCTGGGGACAAACCACCACTGAGGTACGTGCCCTTGGCCAGCATCGAACCCGCGACTCATTGGTCCATGGGCCGATGCTTTAACCATTGAGCCAAACTGGCCAGGGCCCTTTGCTCATTTTTTTTTTTTTTAATTGGATTGTTTGTTGTTTTGGTGTTGAGTTTTATAAATTCTTTATAAATTTTGGATATTAACACCTTATCGGATGTTATCATTGGTTGATGGTTTCCTTTGCTATGCAAAGACTTTTTAGTTTAATGTAGTCCCATTTGTTTATTTTTTTCTTTTATTTTCCTCACCTGAGGTGATATATCAGAAAAAATAGCTACAAGAAATGTCTGAGACTTTACTGCCTATGTTTGCTTCTAGGATTTTTATGGTGTTGAGTCTAACATTTAGGCTGTTGTTTCTTTCTTTTTTTTTTATATCCTTACCCGAGGACATTTTTCCATTTTTTGTTCAGATAGAGTGGGGGGGGGGGGAGAGAGAGAGAGAGAAACATCGACGTGAAAGGGACACATGGAGTGGTCACCACCCACACAACCCAACCAGAGCCGGGGACAAACCACAACCGAGGTACGTGCCCTTAGCAGGAACCGAACCCGGGTCTCTCTGGACTGCAGGCCAACGCTCTAACCGCTGAGCCAAACCGGCCAGCGCAGGATGTTTTAGTCATAAAGAATTCCTACCTGAGTGGGTTGTGGCAAGTCACAGCTTAGAGCCTGTGTGAGATGCAGCTTTGCCTTGAGAACACCTGTCCATTGGTTTTGAAAACTAGACTAATCTTTTTCGTGTCAGAATGATCTCCTCTAGACCTCCAGAGCTGAACACCCCTCGTAACGAGATGACAGTATTCCTCATTGTTATCTTTGGCCTGCATACCTCTGGGACTGGGTCAAGTGTTGTCAATGTAAAAGAAAAATGTCTCCATTTTCATCCAGTCCTGCAGACATCCCCACTTTATGTTCTCCTGCCCCTTTAATCTCCCACCAGTGGGCTTCCTGTCTTCCTTACATCTTCTCCCTTGAGAGAAACTGCAAACCCCTGTTCCCTGGGGCATTTCTCAAACCTTTGAGATTTTACCTCTGGGACCGGCCCCTGAACCTTGGCTCAAATAAAGTTTTTCAGCCTTTCTTTAGGTTTGAAATTTCTTTCGTGGACGTAACAATATGCAGGAGTAATCAGGTTCAAGGGAGGTTACCTGACTAGTCCTCGCTAACACAGCTAGTACCTGACGGTGTCGGCTGGGCCTGGAACACAAAGGGGAAGTTCGAACAGACTTGCACACGGGAGAACATCATGTGCAGGCTGGAGTCATGCTGCCGCAAATCCGCTTCATCCCTGGTGACTTCATCCCTGGTGACTTCAAGTGGAGCCTGACCCTGCCAACAGCCCTCTTCTCAAAGGCTGGGAGACCATGCATTTCTGCTGTTCAAACCCTCAGTGTGATACTTTGTTACAGCAGCCCTGGGAAACGCGTACCTCTGGGTAAGAAACAAAGGGGCAAAAGGAAATGACACCTACACACGTGCAGACAATAACAAGGCAGGAAGGATAAAACCGAAAGTCTGATTTGTTACAGGGGCCATGGGAACGGGGCGGGGACACTTCTTTAGTTCTACTTGATAGAACGTGTTAATGTACCATATACTCAAAGCATAAATAAATAAAGCATGGGGTGAAAATCTCAAAATGCCCAACTATTGCAAATAAGTAACATCACCACACTGACGTGGAGAAAACAATAATTTAGGTCACTTTAGGCACAGTAGTAAAAATAATAGGACCTCTAAATAAATACTGAGCTCCAGTTAATTATGTTTGCTTTCACATGAGTAAAGTTCAGTTTTGACAATGTCTTATGTATACTGTAGGGCTGTGCAAAGAAGTCAGTGTACTGTGGATAATGAGAAGGGGGCTCCCAGTGTGAGGGAGGGGGTCACAGTTATGGACAAAGGGGAGGCTAGAATAAACCGGCAGTGTTGCATTGGGATTGGTTTCTGGTTTTAAACAGACACACAGACAGGCAGAGAAACAGAAATTGATGCTCTAGAATCAGTACAGATACCTACCTGTGGGCTGAGTTTCACTGAGTGTCCAGCTCTGTCCTCTGAGGGTGTCTATGATGTCCCCATAACAAATAGCACCAAGGGCCCAGATCTTGGCTTCTAAGTACCATTTTCCACTAAAACAACAAAGGTTCTTTGAAGAAATGGCTAATTCCGCCCGACCTTTGTGGCTCACTGTTTGAGTGTCAACCCATGCACCAAGAGGTTGCCAGTTTGATTCCCAGTCAGGGCACAATCCCCAGTGGGGGGCATGCAGGAGGCGGCCAATCAATGTTCTCTCTCATCGATGTTGCTATCTCTTCCTTTCTCTAAAATCAACAAAGAAAAGAAATAGCTAATTCTATGGCCGACACAGGGACATCACAACATGAATCTGGAACAAAAATGTGCAAGAAAGAATGTGCTCAAAGAATAATGGGGACACATCACAGAGACAGGAGCCTTGGAAGGGCTCCCACCGCCAAGTATGGGACAATTTTAGGGTCAAAGTGAGTAACAGACTCTAACCCATTCAGTGAAACAGGAGCTGTGAGCCTGTTGATATGAGCACGGGAATGAATGAAGATATTGCAACAAGTAAGCTGGGAAGAACGAGAGGAGTAACATCAGTCAGAAGCCATAATAACTGTTTCAGACAATGATCGTCAACTGACGTGAGAACTAGTTAGTGCAAGTACGTCGACAAACGGTTTTTCATACTCTCCTCGTGTCTCCGCACAGGACCGACCGAGGAATCACAAAGGGAGAAATAGTAAGTGTACATGAAGATACACAGTGGATGCCACCTGTGAAGAGGGAGCAAATGTCACCAGGAGGGGGACAGACGGAATCCTGTGCCCGGTGATATGACACCCTGAGAAGGGCATGATATCATTCCCGGGGGTTCCTACTCCTAATGCAGAATTCGAATCTAATTCTGAGCAAACATCAGACAAATCTACACTGACAGCTCTCTACAAAATAATTGGCCCGGATGCTTCCAAAATGTTAGGGTCATGAAAAACAAAGGAATGTGTGTCACTGTGTCAGTCTAATGGAAACTAGAGACATTTGGTAACTAGGCCAATGTGTGATGATGGATTGAATTATGGACCAGAAACAGAATTTTTGTTAAATGTTTTTCTGTGAAGAATATGGAGACAATTAATGAGAATTGAAAAGCCCTTCGATTAAACAATAGTATGAATGTTAATTCCCTGCTTTTGATCACTGTACTGGGGTTATTTAAGAAAATGCCTTATTCTAAAAAAATGCACACTGAAGTGTTTGAGGGTTAAAGGAATATTATGTCTGCAACTTCCTCTCAAATATTTCAGGGACACACACACATACACACTCATTAAGACATGTAGAAAGAGGATGATAAAATAGATGTGATAAAATGCTCACATTTGGGGACCCTGAGTGAATGGCTTGTGGAAATTCTTTGTACTACTTTTGTACTTTTTCTATAAGTCTGAAATTCTTTCAAAATGAAAAGGTGAAAAGAATTATGGCCGGAAAATAGCCGGCTGGCCGGTGATTAGCTCTGATGGCCCGAATGTCTCAGCAGAAGATAAACCTGGGGCTGGTCGCTGCCTGAAGGACTCCCACAGGGAGCTGTTCTGGTTGTGCGCTCGGTGAGAGCAAGTGAGGGGTTTGGGGCTAAGCGGCAAGAAGCCCCTGTAATCACTTATCTCCTCCCTGCCAAGATTGTCAATCGTGCGCCACAAGACTTCTTCAAGCATGCAATACCTGACTATTCCGTCAGGGGCACAAACCTCTTTTCCTTTAAATTGTCGAATTAAAAAGGGACAACAACCCACACAGCAATTGCTGTCCAGTGTGAATGGATCAAAATTACACCGATTTTTTATTTTTGTCAGATTGGCAAAAAATATATATTTTTTGGCCCTGGCCAGTTTGGCTCAGTGGTTAGAGCACCAGCCCATGGTCCAGAGAGACCCAGGTTTGGTTCCTACTAAGGGCACGTACCTCAGTTGCAGTTTGTCCCCGGCCCTGGTTGGGGTCGTGTGAGTGGCAACCACTTGATGTGTCCCTCACATAGATGTTTCTCTCTCTCTTCCTCCTTTTCTCCCTCCCACTCTATCTGAAAATACATGCAAAAATGTCCTTGGGTGAGGATAAAATAAAATATATATTTTGGTGTGCTGCAGAATTTTAGTAATTAGTTTGTGTGCCAAGTGATGAGAAAGGTTGAGAATCACTGTATATATGATTTACAGTCATTTCTGTGAAGGATGGGATGGTTTTGGTACAGACTTCTGATGTCTTGAAAAACACTTGCATTAAATACTATACTAAAAAGAACCATATTGCATGTTTAAACTGGAAAGATGTTTACTCCGCCCAGAATAATCTCCAGCGTGAAGGTGCTTTGTTTTAGTGCTGTTTTAAGAACAGTTTCACACTGTTATGGAAAGCCTATTAAAGAAAAAAAAAAGTAAAATTTTAAAAAGAAAGAAAAGGTTTAACCAAGCTACAGCATATTTAGAAAGACCCATCCCTGACACAAAAAAAAAGACTAAATTTTTTTATTTTTATTTATTTTATTTATTTTTTTGTTTTTTTATTTTTTATGTTTTTGTAGATAGGTGCTCTCTCTGCATCTTCAAGGGGTGGGGAGAGGGAGGGAGGAGGAGGGAGAGGGGGAGGGAGAGGGGGAGGCAGGGGGAGGCAGGGGGAGGCAGGGAGGGGTAGAGAAATAGGTGAGAGAGAGAGGGAGAGATGTGTGTGTGTGTGTCAAAAAGACTAAATTTAAATGATGTTACCATCCAATCCAACATATTAAAGAAAATTTTTTCTTTATTGTTTAGAGAGAGAGGAAGGGAGAGGGAGAGAGAGAGAAACATCAATGAGAGAGAACACCAACTGGCCCCCGACTGGGGATCAGGCCCACTACCTGGGCATGTGCCTTGACCGGGAATCAAACCAGTGACCGCTTGGTGCAGGGTCAACGGCAGCCACTGAGCCACACTGGCTGGGCCACCCAATCCAACATATTCAGAGATTAGAGAAATAGGTTTCAGCTCAAAACCCCAGAGTCACTTACTCAGAATCAGTCCTAGAACTCAGGCCTCTTGCCGTCAGCTCCCATTTGCTCGGATTTTTCATTCTCCAGACCTTCTGTAGATATTTCCGGAGCACTTTCGAGTTACGTGAATGGGTACATTTAAATATAGGCTCATGACCATTTCTCATTTGCTTCACTACCTCTTCAAATCAGGAGACTCCAGCCTATCATCCAAGCTGAGGACCACAGGCTCCTCACTAAGAGCAAAGTCAGTGAAGTCAGTGTTTTCAGAGCAGCTCGGCCTTTGCACCGATACGCTCTGGTTTTGTTTCTTGTCGTTGCATTTCTAGTCAGGATTAAAAAAAAATGCTATATTACATTTATTCGGGTGACAGGGTAATAAAATTATATAGGTCTCACACGTGCAGTTCTATAACATCTTCCATATATTCAGGGTTATTAATAAAATCGTTTGATCTAAAGAAAGGATGTAGCAAAGTCCACAGTAAGTCATCTGTGCCTGTTCGTTTTTACTCTCTGCAGAGAAATAACAGACGAAAGCCGTTCTGGCTGCGGACACTCGCCCGAATGACAGGGTGGGGGCGGGGACGCCTTTGGGCAGGCAGGCAGGGCCGGGAAGCTGGGGACACTGACTTCCTGGGGAGCACGCTCCAGCCCAGCAGGGCCCGCTGCTCAGCGGCTTCCACTGGCAGCCTGACAGTCCGTGGCAGGGACTGAGAGGCACAGGTGTCTGCGGAGTCCAGGCAGGAGTCAGATGAAAGGCCGGGGGCTTCAGAAGGAAGCTCAGGTGCCCCAGGGTTGGAAACTCCCCCTGGAGCCCCCCATTCTCAGCAGCTTGGCATCAACACCCAGGCAGGAGGGGCCTGGGCTTCCAGGAGCTCATGAATTTCAAAGGTGAGGTGCAGACCCCTGGTGACACTCTCCTTTGTGGTGTTTCTACAAAACCCAAAGAGCAGACCAGGGAGCCACGTGACTAAGCAAGTGGTGACTCTGATAGAAAACGCTGTTATTTTCTAGTGAAACGATAACTCTGTAATTATTAATAGTAGGGGCGGACCTGGCAATTTTCTTGAATAAGAATAGAAAAATAGACCCTCTCAAACTTAAAGTTTTTAAAAATAAAGTTTTAAAGGGAGAGTATTATTTGATGGTACAGAATAACCGTGAGGCTCACTCTCACAAACAGGAAGAACGTGTAAACACCCGTGAATATATGAACTGAGGGTGAATGAATGCCAAGGGAAGAAAAGCAGAGGGCACGAGAAACCACAAGACTGAATTTATTTGTGAGAACAATGACGGATTATTTTGGTTTTGTGTCTTGTGTCTACCTAAGAAACATTCAAACCTGTAGAGAATTTCTGTGAGTTTATCTGAGCCAAAGTGTCAACAATTGCCAGGAAGCAAAATCTCAACGGACTGAGAAAATGCTCCGGAGAACGGTAGCTTTGCACCTTCCTATACAGACAATCCAAAGAGCAGACCCAAGTGGGTCACACGAAGTCCTCTGGTGATAGATTAGGGAGGGGGGAGAAAGCAGGGGGCGGGGCACACACCTCTGGGGTTGGATAGAAAGTAACCTAGTAGACATATACATCTATACATCTTTCACATCCGTGGGTACAGGACAGTTGACAGTCAACAACGAACAATAACAATGAGAGGATTTATGGCCTCTGCCCTGGTGCCCTGGTCGCGACCTGATGGAAAAAGAGGAGGTACCCTGATACCCCAAAGATACGTTGTCGTAGATGCAAAAAGAAAACAGACAGGCTCAGTTAAGGTAGAGACGGACCTTTGTCAGGGAAGATTCTAGCCTAGGACACAAGTACCTGCCATAAACTGCTTGTAGCTAAAAAGTTTTCATTTCAGACCATCCGATGTGGTGACTTCAGGCCTCCGAGTTTGTAAGGCCGCCACGCAGGCCTCCCCTGAGCTTGTCGGGGTGAGTGTGTGGCTCCTTTGGGTCCACATTTCTTAGGACGGAGTCTCAGAAGACAGAGTGTCACCTGCTCCTTGCGTGCGGATCAACAACGACTCAGAGGACAGCCCAGATCCAGAGGGGGGCAGGACACCAGCGTAGACGCCCTGTATGGAGGGGGAGGGACCTGCAGCGTGGGGGTGTCTGCGTACAGATAACAGCAGTTCGAGACACTGTGCAGGGCCCGGGATCTACTTATCTAGTTTTCTGCACGCAAATTTGGAGTGATAGTGACCTTTCTCCTAGAATCTTATGCTCTGCTCCTTCTAGCAGGTTCTGAGAGGGATGTGGCCCAACCCCCAACTAGGGCTGTAGTTTCGTTGATTTCCCCTTCACAGTATTGTGGGTTGTTGCTTTGACTATTCGAAGCACATGTGCTCCTGGACAGTTACCCCTTCTATTCCAAGTCTTCAGCTGGTCTTCTGGTACAAGCTGACCCGGCCGGCCGGCTGGAAGCCACGGTTTCAGGTCTGGAATGACTAGTGCTGTGCCCCCAGGTGGAAACAACCTTCCTCCCGGAGCCAGGCTTCACCTCACAGGAAATTGCAAAGGTTTTAGGAGCTCAGTGTCTGAGCCAGGAGGAAGACCAAACACATATTTGTTATTATAAATCATAGTATCACAAGTATACAGTTCAGCAGTGTTATGTATATTCACAAAAGTAAAAATACAGTGATACCTCAGTTCTCGAACGCCTTGACTTTCGACCAAATCGGTATTCGACCAGGAGATTCGAGAAACTTTTGTCTTGGAATCCGAACAAATATTTGGAACTCGAACTTCCGAGATGAGCCGAGTGGAGCCGAATGGCGTTCATTCGGCCCAGCGCGCCTTGCTCGCGCCATCAGTGTGAGTGCAGAGAGAGTCACGCTTTGTGGAGAGAGTCACGCTTTACACTGAATTTAACCCTTAGACATACTGTACACTTTTATTTCTTGTTGAGACTTATGTTTTTCTACATATTATATACAAATTAGGCCAGTAAATAGGCATTTTCTGGGGCTTGGAACGAATTAATCCAGTTTCCATTATTTCCTATTGGGTTTCATTGCTTCGGTTCTCGAACAATTTGGTTCTCGACCGTCCTCCTGGAACGAATTATGTTCCTGCAAGATGTAGTGCTACCTATGTATATTTACAGTTTTCCATCTTGCAACATTGAAACTCTGTCCCTAGTGAACACAAAGTCCTTCTTCCTCCCCCACCCAGCCCAGCAACTGCCGGTCCACCTTCTGTCTCCGCGAATGTGACTACCTTGCACCTATCACGTAAGCAGAACCACACAGTATTTGTCTTTCTGAGACTGGCTTATTTCGCTCAGCATCATGTCCTCCGGTGGATCTGTGCTCTGAGGCATCCGAATTTCTTTTTAAGGCTGAGTGATGTTTCATTGTGTGCAGGTAGCACATTCTGTTTATCCATTCATTCATCAGGGACACTTGGGTTGCTCTACCTCTCGGCTCTTACTGCTAGGAACAAATGTCTCTTTGAAATCCTGCATTCAGTTCTTTTGATATACGTATTCCCAGAGGTGGAGTTGCTGGACCGCAGGGCAATCTGTCACCTAATCTTTTAAAAATATTTTTTCAAAGGATACACTGTCTTCCCGTTTCGATTGCTGATAAAGAAAGGTTCGATGCGTAAAAAGAAAAAAACCTGGACATTATTATTTCCCGTACAATGCAAATGGCATCATTCTAGTTCGAGGTCCTTCTTCGCCTTTTGCAGTCCTCCGATCCCTTCACTCCGTCAAGCCTGGGGAGGGAGGAGATCAGGGAGGAGATGGATGTCGGCGGTGAGAGCAGCGTGAAGACGGCCCCCCGGAGAGCTCCAGTCAGTTTCATAGCCCTGGAGAACTGAAAATGGCCAAATAAAAAGTGGGTGGAAAATGGAAAAATTTGAGAAGAAATGGACGGAAAATGGAAAGATTCTCATTGAATTGTGGAGGAAAGTGTTATCTATGTCCCATTTAAATTTGTAGGCGACTTCTCCTATAAAATCCGGATTAAAGAGTTGTATAAAATGCCTGTACAAGACACAGCGGATGGAGCTCGTCCCCGAGGTGCCTCTGGGCCCAACGACTGCATTTTCTCTTCTGGGGGCAGCAGCACCGAACAGTTCCACATGTTTTATAGCAAAGTCATTTCAAAAATTCTCTCTTCATTTCCATGTCACTTGCTCGTGTTTTCATTTGTGCTTTTTTAGGAGAGAAATTCCACGGATGATTCATCCTTTAACATCAATCCTTTTCAAATGTCTTATTTGAGAATTAGGGCAGCAAAAATTGCATTGGTTCTCGTAAATGGTATAGTCCAAACTCGTTTACTGATGATAAAATTATTGAGGAGACATCAGAAAAGAGATTTCAAAAACTCAAGCTAATCAGCTTCTGAGAGTATCAGACGAGGGGCCAACTCCACGGGACGTCGGGACCCTGCTTCTGCCCTCCAGTGCCTGCTGGGGGTGGGGCTTAGATCACACAGAGAAAATGCATGGTTTCAGCCCTGACAGAAGTAATTTTATTGCCACCTCTCTCAGCCATGCTAAATACTATCCCAAAGTGAAACTTGAGGTTCCTGCGATTTGAAATCGGACCACAACATGGCTCCCAGAACTGCTTGTTACGACGATGTATCCCTTCTCTCGTCCTGCAAAGTCCCACAACTCAGGCAGAGAGTGGTCTCAGTCACAGCATCGCTGGACTCAGCAGAATGGCTGATGGGGGATGGGAGACGTGCCCAGGAAAGAAGTGAACCCATTGCCACTTTTTAACACCCAGCTGGCTGCCAGGAAACCCCTCCCAGGTCAGCTTTCTGTGTGAAGGTGGGTTGAAGGTCGAATATTTCACACCCTCTCCAGTGATTCAGGAGAACCAGGTACTCCGAGGTCTCGGACTGAAATCAAACCATAATGAACAGGTGTGATGGACTGAATTCTGTCCCCTCAGAATCCAGATGGTGAAGTCCTCCCTGTAAGGTATCTCGCCGAGGAAGAAAGAAAAACGGAGCCTTAAAAGTGGGCAAGAGAGTTTCACTGAAGCTTCCCGAGGGAGGCTCGCTGGTCCACGTGGGGGGGACAGGGAAGTCGCGCTGCTGATTTCGCTTGCGGAAGACTTGTAGGGACGTTAGGGACCTGGGTGGGGTGATTAGGTGTGGGCTCGGGTGACTGGCTAGCTGCTGGGAGATTCGGGTGTGGGTATGTTGATTGGCTGGAAAGGGCGGTGGACGTGACCAGAAGTGTCCCCAGCCGCATCTGGGTCAGGAGGAGCATCCCGAGTTAGGTTTCGATTTCTCCTCTGGCCGTCATGTGACTCCCC